GTATATATGTATATATAACGGCATCATGGAAGACAGGAGTTCAAACCCCAAGCCCGGAAACTAGGTAGACAAGGTTCTTGTATTGGTCAAAGTGGTCTCATAGTGGTGCTGTTTGTGGCGATTAATCAAACAGAGCGACCAAGTACTGAAGAGGACTACACAGTGTGCAGAGCAGTACACCAAACACCTCGTCAAGTCGTCATGCATATATATCTTAGCATCAGCAGACAATAAGTAATGCAATTACACAAGAGATGATTGCCATCGTACGTACCGAGCCAGCTCAAGGTCCTTCAATTTTGGGGTGTGTGTGTGTGGGGGGGGGGGGGGGGGGTTACTTCTCCACCAGTTTTGTCAAAAACCTACCAAATGTGTACATACAAGAATAGCTTCTAAAGCCAAAATCAAGCTAAGGGGGAGTTTACTTCTCCACCAGTTTTGTCAAAAACCTACCAAATGTGTACATACAAGAATAGCTTCTAAAGCCAAAATCAAGCTAAGGGGGGTTTACTTCTCCACCAGTTTTGTCAAAAACCTACCAAATGTGTACATACAAGAATAGCTTCTAAAGCCAAAATCAAGCTAAGGGGGGGTTTACTTCTCCACCAGTTTTGTCAAAAACCTACCAAATGTGTACATATAAACTCCACCAGTTTTGTCAAAAACCTACCAAATGTGTACATACAAGAATAGCTTCTGAAGCCAAAATCAAGCTAAAAAATAGTGGAGTCTCAGCCATTTTTATCAGAAGCTGAAGCCACTAAAACATCTTTTTTCCTGACTTGACTGTTTTTGGAGAAGACTAAATAAGCCCTGCCAAAGATCGAGGATCCAAGTGTTTCTGTCTTTCTTCCTTTCTTTCTCCAAGTTCCCATGAACAGAACCGTGCTTATATATATAGGCTGCTGCACGCGTGTGTCTGACTGAGCAATGATTAACATACTCCGTATGTATGTATATATGGATACTTACTGCTGCCTGCAACGCTGTAACTTACATATAGTGGGGTATTAATTTACTCATCATCTATCCTTGTGTGTGTTTCTGGGGATTGGTAGATGCAGATGAGTGTCAGTACAAGTACTAGTAGTATAGTAGTATATAGGGAAGGAAGAAGCCTCTCCCTCCTTAGGTATAGGTAGGCTGTGTGTGTGTGTGGACTGTGGTATGGCCGGGCGGCCAGTGCATGTTGTGTTGGAGCAAAAACTGACAAGTACGAGGGGATCGTCGCTCCGCTACTGAATCCTGATGACTATACAAGCTATACACACAGAGGGCCGGGCGGGCAGCCTGTAGCTGTAGCCCTGTACTGTACATGTGTGTGCCTGGCTTTGTACAGTCCACTACGCATGCAGCACATGTGGTGGTGGTGAACCGTGACGACCACCGTGAATGAACGAAACAAATGGAGATTCTCCTCCTCTCTTCTCTTCTCTCCCAGCTGCGTGCTGTCTGAGTCTCACTGTCGTCCTCGAATGATCGATCTCTTCTCTACAAGAGTGGCCGGCCCAGCCCGTATGTGTCGTATGTATTCCTTCTCTTCACTGAAACCTAGCTAGCGAGCCCTGAGGTCAGAATGGAATCATGGATAACAAAAAAAGCTACCACCAACAACCACTGCAGCAAGGAAGAAAGGCATGCAGGCAAGCAAGGGTCATCGTCGACTCGTTGTAGCTAGCTGCTGCATATGAGCAGTGAGTGCATATACACATGCATGACTGTGCATGTGTAGTAATGTAGTATAGTCCTAGCTAGTAGCGCGTAGGTACAAGGAATGGACGATGGGGCCGGCCGGTGCATGTGTGTATAGTTGTATACCAAAGTTACCATGCAGGTGCAGTCGCAGTAGGTAGAAGGGAGGATAGGGTCGTCGACCGTAGAGCTAGCCGAGCGAGGGAGCGCGCGTGTGCATGCATGCGGCACCATGCCGTACGTAGAGAGCAGGGGAGCAGCACAGTAGGGTAGGGTCGTGCGGGTGGCAGGGGCGCGGGGCTTGACGTGTCGGAGCCGCATTGCCCCTGCATGCGCTGTGCGCCAGCCACAGGTCCATACGGCGCGCACGCACGCGGGCGTTCGAAGCGAAACCAAGCCCCAACCCCAAGGGATAAGGTTACGAGGTGGGCAGGTGCAGGTGGCTGCCCGGGTACGAGCAGACGTCGATCGCGCCGCGCACACGCACGAGATGACTCACTCCCGCCTGCTGCCTCGTGCCTGCCTACCTCGGCAGCAGTCGGCAGTGCGCACCGCGCGCCGCACCCAAGACGTGCCCGGCCGCGCTGCTCTCGGCGCTCGCCATGTTGTGCTTCGGCGGCCGGCCGGCCGCCCGATCGATCGGCGCCATACCAGGCGGGCGTGCGTAGCAGTAGCTATATAGGTACGCGTACATGCGACACGCCGACACCTCTCTCCTTAATTTTGTTCTCGCGTACGTCATATATCGGGCGTGTACGTCATAAAAGCCCGCAACTAATTTCGGACGCACGCCAACTGTGTCTCCATTCGCAAGCCCAGAATTGCTGGCATTTTGCACCCTAATTAGTTCCGTGGCGGTGGAGGTTTTTATGTTCGTCTGTCCCGAAAAAACAGGCCTTTGGTGGATTATAGGATCATAATTAGAGTATTTTATTTTATGATAATAATACATCCAAACATGCTCTTAGCTGAAGCGAACGAATCCGAAGGTTCTCACCCGAGATACAAGTATATTATTGAATGGAGATACGAGCATAATTGTGAGGTTTGTTTTACAACGATCAATTGGTCCTGGTAAACATGTTTAGATACAGTCGTGAAAAAAAAATGGAAATATACGAGTATAATCTGCGGAGGAAGGAAACAGCTTGAGGTACGTATACGTTACAGCGCTGATCAGTAACGATCAAGCATGCTCCTGCTGTCTGTGGTTGTGAGGAATGTCACGATCGATCCAGCTGCGCTGCGCCGCGCCTGTGACAGCCCAGCTTGAGGTGACTGTTCACTCTCACTCATGAGCCCCGACCCCGAGCGTGACATGTACTGGTACCGGTAGAATAGAAAGCAGCGAGACTTTCCCCTCCGGAGTCGGGAGTCCGGCCCTCCCTTGCTCTCCCTTCTCCCTCGCAGACCAGACCAGACCAGACTAGAGAGCAACTGAGCAAGGCAGACCAGGTGTCGTGTGAGTGACGGATGCAGCCAGTTCAAGTGTTGAACGATGGATGGATGGATGGGGCACTGTTCACGCGGCACATGCACGGTGAATCTCATGGATGAATTGAGAGAAGGGCAGAGGCCCGAGAGGTCGAGAGGAGGAGGAATCCGCCGCCCGGCGACGTGTCAGGCCGCGGCCTGGTCCATTCGCGCACAGGCTGATGAGGCTGACAGACAGGCCACGCAGGCTCCCGAAATGGTAACAAGGACCGTGGTTGGTTTTCTTTTCTTCGACGCCCGCCCGGCGTTTTCACTTTCCACGATGGGTAATAATAATAAAAAAAAAACTCCGTCCACTTACCACCTCCACCTGCCTATCCTATCCAGGATGTACTGTACAGTGTACACACATGTGACCGGTTGCCATCGCCATGGCTGGCTGAGCTCTCCATCTTTAATCCCACACATCTCCTATGTTTGAGGAAGAGGGGATGGATTTTAAATAGTAACTTAGAACTTTTAGGCATTACAAATAGGATGAATAATTTATTGGAGCAACCACAAACTCTTACATTGCATATTTTTGGTATGGGGCGGGTTCAGATCGGATTTCACAACATTACTAGGTTATTTTGTCCTTAGTTTTCGCGGGACTATCCCTTGCTTCACCCCTCTTGTGCATGCAAAATTTCACTATATACAACAAGGATCCATGTGGAATATAGGAATTTCAAAAAATCCATTCACATTTATGAAAATCAATTTAAATTCATAAGAAAAGGAAAAACAATTTCCGTGTTCCAAACACAACCTAATTTGTTAAAAGAGTCAATTTCATTAGTCTGCACTAGTTTTGCCGGACTACTAGTATGCAAAATTTCACTATATAACAAGAGTCCGTTTTGAATGTAGAATTCCATTAAAAAAATAGTTCAATTTCATAGGAAAAAAATAGAGCAAATCCTTGTCCTCCTTACACTGATTTACCAATTAGCAGTTGGTCTCTCTCTCATTTGGGGTTGGGGTGTGTGCACGTACGGGCAGTCTCCAATTCCTAGAGCAATGGCTGCAGGCAGATCCTACTGTACACTAGCAGCCCGTGTAGCGCAGGCTGCACGAGCGGAGAGGGGCATGGCTGGCTGTTCTTGTTACGACATGTTGACTCCTCGGGAAACAACAGGCTAGGCCCTGGTCCTCCTGGTGATGAGCCTGACAGCTTCATCCGGCCGGGCCAGCCTCCCATAATCATAATCCCAGGAAAAGACACAACAGCGGGCAGGAATTCTGCGGACGGAGGGGAAAGGGCCCAGCCAGAGCCAGGTTTTCCCATCCCATTTCAATATTCATGCGACTGGTCTTGTATGCAGTGAAAAGACACACGAGCATTTTTTTCCTTTTGACACCCAAGTAAAGCCTGATGGGAGGTTGATCATCAGCTGCATACCATGATTAGCATGCATAGGAAAAACTTGCGGCGATGCAGCACACAACGACATTCATGACATCTGTTAACAAAGACTGCTAAATTGGATTTTACAATCTGGAAGGAATTAATTCCCATGTAAAGTGTGTCTCATTGTACCCTCTTGCATACAGATGCAAGGATCCTTGATAAGACTGCCCTTCAGAGCTAATCAAACTCTAAATGCTCAGGAGATAGGCAGACTAAGTTTAGAGTGCTAAGGGGTCCAGATGAAACCAGTAAATTTGAATGGCAGGAACAAAAAAAAAAGGGGATAATTGATTCCCTCCCCCACCCACCCATCTTTTGAGATCGAGGCTTGTCTGCTTGTAGCATCCTAGTACAAGTTTAGTTAGAGAATCATCACGGTTTAAAATTTCCCTTCTTTGACGCTTCCTGGGGCATGGAATCATCAAAGACCTGCATTCAATTAGGAAAACATTCATCACATACACAAAGTGCTATCTGCAGACGACTTGAACATCCACAGTAATATCATGATGCATTCAATATTAAGGAATAAAATAGCACAAACAAATAGAAATGTTCCATTTACATGGTATCTGCTAAGGTGGTTGTGCAGATAATAAACTACTCAATCCATCTAAAATTATAAGACTTTTTGGTTTTTCTAAATACCTTTTACTATGCATCTATAGACAAAAGCTATGTATATAGAAAAGCCAAAACGTCTTATAATTTGGAATGGAGGGGGCATTTCATATAGCAAAATCCAGTGATCTAATCTGAGGCATTAGAATGCTATGGATCATTATCAACAGAAAGTTTGCATGCTGACACTCTGACAGCCTCAAACCTATATGATCTACAAGTAGGTTCAGCAATGGCATGGTGGCTTAGTTTCAGTATGTTGCCCATCCGCCAATCAATTTCTTTTTATATGAGAAGGCAAGGGAGAAAAAAGAACCTATACTGTATTACCTTTGCCCTTTTTCTTTTTCTTTTTCTTTTTCTTTTTCTTCTTTTTCTTGCTCTGCTGTTCGTCATCTTGATGAGCTTTAACCTTCTGAGGATAAATACAAATAACTATGTCAGATACAACTCAATGAACCTTGCACAAAACCAACTGGATATATGATATGCCATATATAAAGGACATTTTAACTACATAATAAGGATATGTATGTACCTTATTTTTCCTTTTTCTTTTGATCCCCTTCACCTCTGCTTCATCTTCAGAATTCTGTTACTCTTAAAAGTTAAGTGCTGAATCAAATTAAGGGACTCATTTAAGAAAATCTATAATCAACAAAGATACCTCAGATCCATCCTCAAATGAGGAAACATGTCGTACTACTCTTCCTGAAGTTGAAGGCTCGCCTGCATCAGCAATACAAAGCCGTAAAATTGTAGGTCCAATATCGTTCAGAGCGGATGTAGGACAACTTAGCTACTTTACAGATATACGGGAAGTAACTTGGCAATAGTCACGAATGACAAAACAGTGAACAAGGTTAGCCACAAGAATAACATCTTAGAAGCCAACTCAACACCAAGCAAATGTTAGACACAGTTTATTAATTGGTAAAAGGGTAAAATCAATCTAGTGTCAAGCTTAATTTTGTCCTTAATATTTCAGGCATATATCGTTATCAAGTCTCACACAAGGTAAAACTACATAAAGTATGTGGCAGTCTCATCTGAACTTTTTCCATGTGGCCCAATGAGTCACTGTATCATAGCAAAAGGATCCAGTACAGATAAACACTTGTAAAGCATGCAAAAAAGAAGTGGGCTACGTAACTAATACGAGGTCCATTTCATACTCCTATGTTGTACCAACAAGTGCCACATGGTATGGAAGAAAAATCAAGATCACCAATGAAGGCCTAACATTGTTACATAAGGGATAGTTCACATGATACATATTTTCCAGAGTACATTACATACAGAGGAATGGTGGGAGAAGTGTACCATTGCTAGCTTTTATGGTTTCCTTTGCATTTTTCACAGCCAGTTTTACAAGGTCAGGGTTCAGGGAGTCCAAGCCATCAGGCTGCTGAAGTTTTCTCTCAAGGAATTTTGCTAAAGCGGCAGCCTTGTTTGTAGTTAGTGGTCCTCCAGGATGGGCCATCCTATTTGATAAAGTAATACAATATAATGTTATGCATGTATCAAAAAAAAAAAGATGCACAGGAAAGATCATATGATTTCCACAGAGCAATATTGTTAAAGTAACTAAAGTTATATTAGCACTACAAGACTTGATGCAGTACTACTATACTTCGGCACACACTCAGGCTTCAACTTGCTCTGTTGTTTTTTTTTAAGGATTTTGTGTTTTCGTGTATATGTATAAGCTTGCATTACATTGACAGAAGCAAGCACAGACGAAAGAACTCCTAGTACCCCAAAAGCAGTTACACCTAAATTCATACGTGGCAATCAATAGCATCCCAGTGACCCAATTTCAAGTTACAAGTCATTTCCTGCATATATTGAAGCCCCAGGCAGGGGAGGCAAAAAGGGTGCTGACTACTGAAACTAATAAAATCTAAATCATAATTTGCACTAAAATTTATATTTCTCCAAACCACGAGGCACCGATTACACGAATCAGTGGTATCACTATTTGAAATTTGCTTCCATCACACGCTGTTTCCATCTGACCAAGCAGCTAAACGGTGGTTTGGCAAAACCTTACTCCAGACCTACACAGCCTTCCCTCTATCAATTTGTTCACGACAACATCAAGCAAGCAGTATCCAGTAGAACTGAATCTAGTTGCCGCACGCAACCGCAACAACGCAACACGCGCTGAATCGGTTATCGGTAGATCTGGACGCAGGCTACAGAGAAGGGGCCGCGCGGTACCTCGGCTGGGGGCGCGATGAGGGAGGAGGCGGAGGAAGCGGCGCGAACTTGCTGCCCCGCATCGCCCGCTTCTCATCGTCGGACAGGTCGCCAGCCGCCGCCATGTCGCCGCCGCACCGCACGGGACGGGGGGAAGAAGGAAGCGCGACCGGTTCAGGTCCGTTTGCAGCTTGGGCTCTGGTGTGGTCGAACCAGGTACGCTGCCCGACCGGTCGGACCGGACCATTGTTTGGATGGCTGCTCAACTCTGCATCTGCATGACATGTGGGACTGTGACCTCTAGCTAAGATTTAAACAAGAGTCTCTTCAAACAAGGGAGCTGCTAGCGTCGGACGGCTGATCCGGGACGCTAGCATCAGAGCTGCCACAGGGTGCACAGCTAAATCATCAGACGTAGCCGGATACGGAGAAAATTAAATTCGCGCGCGCGTACACGGGATTCGCTCGCACAGGGACCGCCCTGTTTCTCGTGCCACTCCTTTGCCGCGTGCATGCACACCCGCGCCCACGTGGGTTCTAATCACCTAACCCGCCTGTGGATGAGCACCTGGATGCGTCTGCCGGCCTTAGACGCCCGCACATGATCCACAACGGCGCCTCAACAGTTATAGTAGACGGTTACGGTAGATGGGACCTATTTACAACAGCAGATTTATTTTTATAATATCTAGATAAAATAATTGCAACGTATATTTGAAACACCAGAAAAACACAGTGTAGCAATTACAAACATATGCAATATCTAAATAAAACACTTGCAACATATGTATGAAACACTTGAAAACACACGCTTACAGCATGCATGTATATGTAACATACAGATCCACTTTTGTAACATTCAGATAAAATACTTCCAACATGCGTCTGAAACATATGAAACATTTAGAACATACACTTGAACATACGTGTGTAACCATTGTGTAGGATCTCTGGTTGGCCTAGAAGGAGATGAATAGGCCTGTTAAAACAAACACTTAGACTTTTATCAAATTCACCCTGCGGCACTACCGCTCTGGAGGGCGGCACTGTCGGACTGCGGCACTGCCGGACCAGAACAGCGGTGCTACCGCACCTGCAGACAACTTCGAGTCACAGTTCAAAATTAGTGAACGGAAACTTAGATCGGAGAAATTTCTCAGCCTACTGCAGGTATGATAGTCACAAATCAAGAGCTAAAAGTTGTAGAAATACCACACACAAGTAGATCGACTAGAAACCCTAGAAATTACCTCAACCAACAATATGAAATACAAGTAATATAAATCAAGCACAAGTGACACAATGATTTATCTCATGATTCGGCTCGCCACCAAGGCTTGCCTACCTCCACGTTGTTGAGGTTAGCCACTAAGGCTTAGGGCTTTTCAACCCTTTCCTCGTTCTCAAGTCAAGAGACTTAACTCTTGAGAGAGTGGTGAGTTTACTAGCTTCAAGAGATGATTACAAACCTTCCAGAGCTGCCACATAAGTTGGCAAGCTCTCACGGGCGATGCTCTAGCCAGTTAGGAGCCAAGCTCCAAGAGTAACAAACACAATCGTCGGCCAAAACGTGAACCAAATGCTCTTTTGAGTTGAGGAATCAATGGAGCTGCTTTTTAATCGAGTTTTGGACCTTTTCTCTCAAAGATTGATGGTGAAATCAATGAATTTGCTTGAGGGCTCAAGGTCAACAATGGAGGAGGAGAGAGAGACTCCTTTCTGTTTTGGACGAGCTGGAGTGAGGAAGAAGAGACAGAGAGTCGTTTGGAAGAAAGGAGAAGGGTATAAATACTCCCCAGCCCCCAACGGTCACTTAAGTCGCGATAGTGCCCTGGCTCAAATGCGGCAGTGCCTCTCTTCAAGTGCGGCAGTGCCGCACCACGCAAGACAGCAAGGGTAAGAATGAAGTGTAGACTGTCTTGGCTATGAATCTGAGTATGCATGTATATATTTGAGCACTTGGTAGCACATATTAACTTAAGTATTGTGTCCTCCTTTATAGTATGGCTTTTCCTATACTCAAATTCAAAATATAAAATAATTTAAATCTTCTTTGAGTTTAAAGCCATCTACATTTGTAATTGAAGGCTCCTCCGTTTCGTGTAGCATCCTCGAACATGAATTTCCTGCTTGTCTTCTCGATAAATCTCATTAGTTCTCTAATTGCGTAGTCATTATCACCAAAACTCACAATTAGGGTTTGATTGCACTTTTAATCTCCCCTTTTTGGTGATTGATGATAACCCAATTAGAGCTTACAAAAGATATGAAATGAATACTGAGATTTTTGAACCATGGGTGTAGAGCCTCCCCTAAGTATGTGAATAGAGAATTGAATTCTTAAATTAGCTTAAGAAGTCAAGATTCATATTTTAGTGAAAGTAATGAGGCTCTCCCTACATCCATGCTCCTGTGAGGTGCTCATACTGTGTCAGGTATGTAAAACATTATACAAATGACCGTTTATGCACAACATGGTTTGCTGTTACAGCTAGGTGCGGCGCTACCGCACTTGCTGTAACAACATAGATCAGAACAGACACCACACCGCATGTGATACATATAAAGATATATATTCTAGCATAATTATATCACAAATGACAGCATAGATTAATATATGTCTATATCCCACACATATATAAAGTACTTAAGTAGCATTATTACATAAATAGAGTTTCTAATGGACTCTCAAATTCTCACCTAACGAAGACTACTCTAAATGAATACGAACATGACTCTAGCTACAGCAACCTCCTCTCCATAGCATCAAAAAAGTTATTGACCCTCTAATTTTCTCCCCCTTTGGCATAAAGCACCAAAAAGAGAAGAAAAGAAGAAAAACCAACACTCACTCCTCATCCTCTTGGATGGTGTTCCAATCGACATCATCCCCACCAGCAGCTTCACTACCACCGCCCTCCCTTGACGATGAGTGGTCGAAGTGTGGCGCTCACGCCTGGTGCTCCTCCTCATGGACTACAAGGTGGACCTCAAACTCGTGTGAGGGTCAAGCTATGGTTGCTCCTCCTCCTCCTCCTCTCCTCCAAATCTGTCTCAGAAAGGCTAGGGAGGTTATCAAACCTCAGCGGTGACTAAACTAGAGAAAGAGGTGGCAGCCCTATACGCTCTCTAGCCTCTCGGTTGGCTTCACGGTTCTCCAACCGGTCCTGATATGCGATCATCGCTGCATAGGTGCAAGTGGTGAAGATGGCCTTGATTCATCTCCCAAACTTCTCCATCTTCTTTTCCTTGCGAGACCTAGATCGGGATGACTCAGGCACGTCCTCAACTGATGGAGATCATTTCACTGCCCTGCTAGCACCTGCCCCTTGGGTCTTCTTAATTTTGTAGACGGTGTGAAGACCATCTTTCTTAAATCTATAGCCAGAGACCCTCTCAATCATAAACATGAGATAGAGGCATAGGGACATTAAACATGTCACCTTCAGGGACAAATCTAGCAAGCACATTCCTCACATATCCATTAAGATCAGAAGCTGCTCCATCCTTAGGATTGATAGTGCGCCTGATCAACTTGTTCAGAATGTAATAATAGCTCTTCAGGCCACTAACCTTCCCATCTGCTCTCTCTTGTCAATCCACATATATGTAATATCATGGATCTCAGCTCTATCCTCCTCTCTCCAAAACCAAGGATCCAACTGAAAGTCATAAAATCAACTCTATAATACCGTCCCTTAGTCATCCAGTGAATCTCATCAGTATAGATGCTATAGAAGAAAGTGGCATGAAATTGGGCTAGCACTTCCTCATTCCAATTATATCTAAAGCTCATAATATCAGTGAGGCCAAATAACTCACAAGCCTTGATCACCTTATTGAATTTTGGCTTATTCTTTGCTGTCATCTCCTCCCAATCAACATATTACATCTTGACAACTTTGGATTTCATGGAGTTGAAGTTCATAGATGCATAGAAGTTGGAATGAAACTCATTCCAAAACCTGTAGTCAATCTCTAAATCCTTTGGCTACTCACAGGGATTGTTCTCATATGCTTCCTCCACCATCTTCAGCTTTCCCTCATAGTTGAGCACGGGATGAGCACGCGTGTCAATAGGATGCCTCATGACCACATCCTTAGAATACTCTCTGATGTAGCTCTTATCAAACTCCTCAAGATGAGGTGGAGTATCTAGGCAAGCACCTGGAGGAATAGTGTGGCTAGCCCTCTCCAAGTTCTCCTCATCCTAGATCATCTGATCTCTCCTCCCCCTGTCTCTGGCAATATCACTGCCTGCTGCACTGTTGTTGCCCCTGTGGTCCTGCCACGACCACGACGAGGCATCTGCTTATACCGAGGCTCGACCATCTTTTTCTTCCCCCTCCGGTCATCATCACCTCCAGAGGACATCTATGCAAACAAATATAGGTCCAAATAAGAAACTATACATAAGGGGTATAGAAGAACACTTGTAAAACACTCTGGATAGATGAGATGATTCAAATCTCGAGTTAGGAAAGCACTCTGAACTAATCAGGTCAGAGGGTGCGGCACTGCCACACCTAGTGCTTCACCTCTCCCACGATTCAATTATTCTCAACTATTCAGACTATTTCTCAAACATTCTCCTAAACCACTAGACAATCTCAGAGTGAGTAGACCTAAATAAATACATGGAGTTGTCTACAATGTAGGTAAAGTGGCTACATGTTTAAGATAGAAACAAATCTAGTGCACAAATCCAACCAAAATAGAGAGTCATCGATAGAACAACATTTGCATTTACAAGTTTAATCTGTTGAGTGCAGCACTGCCACATCCAACATGCGGCACTGCCATGGGTACAGATGAGGCCCAACCAACGAATCGTTGTTTTGATTCAATTCATCCATCAAACTAGTTTCTACCATAATCATATAGTCACTAGAAACCATCTTCCAACAAATATAGAACTCTATGGCATTGATTAGGATTAGGTTAGGGTTTCACCTTGATTCACGTGGATTGAGGAGGAAAGAGATGAATTGGCTCCATCCATGAGCCAGGGCTACTGATGACGATGACGTAGAAGAACAACAGTAGGCTACGACAACACCGGAGGTGGCGGCGTGGTTGGACAGAGCGACGGTGGCGCGGCTGCGTGTGGCGTGCGAGAGTAGAG